TTTTAAACTAGGAATTCATAAAAAAATTTCTTTTTAAATCTTAGATTTGAAAATTTTTCATAGTCTATAATATATCCTAGACAGATAAACCGGCTTCGCTCAGAATCGTTTTTCGTATAGGTACAATTATATAGTATCATTGGATTCAAATTTAATTTCATCCATTGCAGTAACCCACTTGTAACSTACTGTATAGCAGAGCGACATCCACGACTTACCCACCTTTTTTAAATATTTTAAACATTTTATTCATTTAAATTTATCACCTATCGGCTATCGGCCATCATAACATTTTATTTTATTAAGATGACAAGATCCTGACTAACCTACACATTTTACTAGATACTTAAGTTTTTAATTGTATTTAGGTACTTTTAATATTTAATATTTGTGTGTTTATAATATACAATATATACATATATCTCACCTAATCTATGTGTATATAAACCGTTTATTATATGTATAACTATGTTGCCTAAATGATGTAGGATTTAAACAAAGTCTTGAAATTTTAAGTTATATTATTATTATATTATTATTTATAGGACACTAMGATTGTACGTTTAGAGGCAATGGCGTAGCCAGAAATTAAGAAATTATCTAAGGGTAGGAGGAGGGTTTATCTTTTTGTACATAACTAAAATCGTTTAACCGTTTGAATTCGTAGGTACTTCATTTTCGTCATAAAACATTCTTTATGTTTTTATGGTGCCAGTGCCTAATGTAGTAATGTGTATTAATGTGTTATCATTTCGACTCTGCATTATACAATCAAAACTAATGAGTTATCACTGTATCTTTTTTAGGCCAGGGGGGGTTAAACAACTCCTAAACCCCTCCTGGCTAAACCATTGATTAAAGGATAGGAATGGAGATCACATTTATTCAAAAAATATCTAAATTGTTCTTTTTTTCATTTTATTAAATTAATTATGAAAATTCTTAATGTGATAGTAATTTCTATGTACCTATTGTACCTATCTACAATTTGGTTTTTTTTTTTTAATTGAGGGCAATCTTCCCCGTTTTATAAGTGAAAATAGTCATATAATGTATCTATGTATCCAAGAATGTCAAACTGTTAAATTGTTAAATAGTAATTATTATAGACTATAATTTATAATCAAATCCCTCGTTTTACTTTTATTTTTAATTACATCCAACACGTTTTGTTACAATGTTAGATACGTGAATGAGAATTCAACGATAACAATTTTTTTATGATTGCAAGGCCATTTTCCTAATTAATCAATCAAATATCTGATGTTTAAAATGAATTATGTAATGCATCATACGTGAACATTGAAACCTAATTGATAGTATAGGAATCAGCAAAATGTTATAAATTATAATCACATCTTTATTATAGTAATTATTACTACATAATTTGTATGTATTGTATACCAATATATTTTAATAATATTTGAGTAGGTATAGGTATTGTTATAATATAAGTGATGCCTACTGCCTAATGTAAAGAACTTAGTATATTGTATTTATGTACATTGAAAGCAATGAAAGCTATAGTTTCCTATTATATAAACATTTATTGCAATTTAGTTGATTGGTAACTTACAAGTTAACCTAACCTAACCTAACTTATATTTAATACTTAATAGTAATAACTAATAATAAGTGCCTCAAAGATCGAAAAATAAAGTTTATCATATACATTTATTACTGTCTACAACAATTATGAAATACAATATACATAACACTATAGTAACCTATATGATCGTTGTATTCATTGTATACATAAAATATATATACAAGGTGTGTCTGGGTTTTCATACAGAGATTGAGAATGATATAAAATAATTAATGAATAGATTGAAAACCTATTTTGCGTTTTATTAATACGAAATATCTAAACTTTAGATATTTCGTATTTTAGATTCTAAAGTAGTTCATATAAATAATAATGATATAGGTACAGTCAACACTTAACAATACTAAATCATTGAACATGATGTCGACAATCTGGATTAAGAAACCAGTCTTTGTCAATAAAGAAATGATCTAACGAGTTAAATTGACATAGTTCAATAGTTGTGAATTATGGTTCGTATATATATATATGAAAGACCTGAAAAAAAATCATGCTAAATTAACGAATTACAAAAATTGTTAATATTATATGATAATAGTATATTATTTAAGAAATATACTCATATCAGCAAATTCTCAAAAATCATTCTTTTTAAAAAGTTATTACGTTCCAAATTAATTTAACCAAGAAAATATTGAATTTTAAAAAAATTCTAAAAAATAAATTACTTGACTTAAATAAATCTTTTTACCAACTTTACATAACCTATTTTTAATACTTAAAAATAAACATAAAACAATGAATTATACGTGTATAGCACTAGGTCTCTTATTGGAAAAAAAAAATATTAATTTAAACAAAAGTTATTCCTTCCAAAAGTCAGTTCTATCTGTTACACCTTGTACCTATATGGCTATATATGTATATTCTATATTCTAAAATAGAATAAACTCGATGAAAAATATAAAATTATTAAACAATTTATGAAGAAAATCCAAATCTATGATGGAATAAAGTTTTATTATACTGCACATAGCATATATCGTACTCCACGTGATACTGTAGAGCGCATTTATACCTTAATGTATTATTAACATTTTTCTGTTCTATATTATATGGTCAACATTTTCAAAATTCAATACAAGGTTCTTCGTAAGATTTTTACAACGGTTACAAAAAACTGAAAGTATACCTTTATAGAATAGATACAATTTCTACAAGCAGTCTATATAGAGATGTAAGCATCGACATGTTTAATCCATAATTGTTTTTTTATCCAAATTTTCAAAAAACTATAATATCTGTCAAATAAAAATCAATTAATTAACATAAAAAAATTATATTTTGTAAATCTATATAGATTAGGGATATAAGATATTACAGAAGTTGAACCATCGTATTAGGTTAGATTATAGGGTTTAAAGTTAGGTAATACCTATATCTATGATACATCGCTTTAGGTTCGGGATAGTACCGCTTAAAATATTTATGACCAGCTGATGATTCCGGTAGCGAATGTCAGGTGTCCTCGGCCAAGTTCTAAGATCCGAAGGCAGCACGGTATACACGAAATACGGGCAGAAACCTGCCCTAACAGTTGCAAACACAAGGGTAAAAAACGTCGGCCAAGCGAACGCGTAGTATGATGGCAGACGTAAACAGATTATAAGACGATATTTTATCCGACTAACACAACGGACGGCCAGCTCAACACAAAAGTGCATAGCAAACCCGAAACAAAGGCGCACAATGGCGGACATATAACAACGTCAAAAACATTGTCCTATGAACACAGCAAGCGTAACAAGCTGGGCATAAAAATTGTGATAAATCACGATATCACTTTTCAACGCTTTCGAGTGATTTGTCCGGAGCTCGTCGAAAACCTGAAGCATCAATTTTGTCGAGGACTGAATCTTGACTTTGAGCTAATTCTCCAATGATACGTTATTTGACATAGGTATACAGACGACACAATCGTCAGTCAATATATTAAATGAAAAATACCTACGTCATAACTTTTAGACTTTGTGTCATTCATCACTCAGTAGTCAGTACAGTATTATAATCTGTCGTACAGGTAAGACGTGCGTACTGCGTACATCCGTTATTGATACGTCGTTATCAGTTCTCACTGGTTCGTTATGGCTTTCACGTGCTATATCTGTTCATCGGCTATTACTATCTATATAACTTGTTGTGGTTGCATGTAAAATACAGCGCATATAGTAATTATTACATTGCTACTGCTGGATCCTATCTCAACTTGGAAATGTAGTGTTTGCTCTCCTAATTTTGATTTACTTTCTAAAATTAATAAATTGTTCGACCTTTTAAAATCTACTAATGATAAAATTGATCATGTATTTGCCTTAAATACACGCCTTCGAGAAAAATTATGTTTACTGGAGTCAAGAATTGTCAAATTTGAATCACATCCAACTACTAATGCCAACGCTTCTTATTCAGACATTTTCAACGAACTGCAAGACCGCCAATCATGTGAAAAAAATATAATTTTATTTAACGTCGCCGATTCTGCTAATGATGTCGAAGACACCTCACTAGTTAATGATATTTTTGATAAAATTGTTGCTACTTCAAAAATAGTTCGTCTGGGTTGAACAGTACCAAAATCTCGACCGATAAAAATTATATGCGTAAACAAATCTGACGTTGGGTTATTACTGAAATCAAAAAATCGCCTCCGGAATCTGCCTGACATGAAATTTATCCGATTAACCGTTGATTGGACCACTTCACAACGCAGTTTCTACAATTAAGTACGAGAACAACTTTCAATACGCAAAAATATGAGTGAAAATAACTTTTACATCGGCTATATGGCTATATCAAAGAAGTTCCATTGTTCCAACCATTCTACAAAAAAACTAAATACCGCGTCAGGTATTGTTCACTTTACTTTAACTAATACTAATAATAATTTATCTAACTTTAAATGTAAGCATATAGATGGCTTATTTCAAAATGTTAGGGGGATGGGCGATGCGTACAAAGTTAGATTTATTACGTATCAATGAATCTTTATTTACTTTGGATTTTTATGTAATTGTCAAAACTAACTTAAATAATAACTTCCTATCATCTGAACTTGGTTTTTCCTCATTTAAGATCTATAGATGTGATCATGACTATACAAATTCCGGTGTTAGTCTAAGTGGTGGAGTTTTAATTTGTGTAAAAAGAAAATTTTTTTCCAAACGTTTAAATGCACTTTCTACTTCTAACACTGAACACTTATTTATTCACGTCCGGGTTAATAATAAAGATTTAATAGTCACTGGTGTTTATTTTCCACCCAAGAGTAGTATTGATAGTTACGTTACATTTTTTAATGCTTTAAATTTAATTGTTTCGTTACACCCTAATTATGAAATTATTATTTGCGGTGATTTTAATTTACCAAAGTTAAACTGGCTTGTTTAATGTTTATAATGATTACGTTAATAGTGCCATTATGGTATTTATAATCAAGCGGCAACCGTTATCGACGAATTCCCTTATCTCAACTGCCGACAATTTAATAAATGGTATAATTTATTGGGTTTATTATTAGATTTATTATTTTCTAACATTCATTCCCAAAGTTTAGGTTAGGTAGCAAATTTACGCTTAGCAAAACACTTGTAGCTCATTTAGTTTAAAAATTACAGTGAATCGACCTATTATGGAACTTGATGGTAAGAACATTRTCTGTGTTTGTACATTGGTTTTTTACGATAATTCAATTTTTAAGTGAGTTATGAGCATTTTTAATGTACTGTATATTATATGCTCATAACTCACTTAAAAATTGAATTATCGTAAAAAACCAACGTACAAACACAGATAATGTTCTATAACCATCAAGTTTCATAATAGGTCGATTTACTGTAATTTTTAAACTAAATGAGCTACAAAGTGTTCTTTTGAGCGTAAATTTGCTATATTACGCACTGGTAAGACGGAAACAACAAATACCACTGTTAGGTACTCTTAAGAGGACGTGATACCCGCATGTGTTGTCTCCGTCTTACAAATGCGTAACATGGTACATTTTTCGCTCAGCAGAACACGTGTAGCTCCGTTAACTTAAAAATTAGAGTGAACTGACCTCTTATAAAATTTAAAGGTAAGATAATTATCTAGACAACCTCATATGCTTTTTATTTTATATCAAATTTAAAGCGAGTTATGAGTATTTTAAAATTGTGAATTTTTTGTGCATCTTAAAATACTCATAACTTCTTTTAAAATTTAAATATATTAAAAAGCATATGAGGTTGACTAGATAACAATCATACCTTTAAATTTCATAAGAGGTCAATTCATTCTAATTTTTGAGCAAACGGAGCTACACGTGTTCTGCTGAACGTAAAATTTACTATATAATGCACTTGTAAGACAGAGACAACACATGCGGGTATCACGTCCTCTTAATGACGCTGATAAAGCTATATTACCTTTAGACACGTTCATATCACCCCGCTCTGTATATTAGCTTTGATATTTCTACGGGTTATAGTAAATACGATTCAATTCTTAGTTATTTTGATTTTAACCGTACAAATTTTGGTGGCGCTTATCTTATAGTGGCTTATACGCTCTTAATTCTTGTAATTATTGGAACGAAATTTTAAGCAGTCCGGACATTAATATAGCCATTTCTTGTTTTTACTCAACACTAAATACTCCCATTGAATTATTCGTAACTAAAAATCACTCCTAAAAAAACAAATTTCCCCTTTTGGTATAATAAATACCTACTTCATAAGTTTAATTATTAAAAAAAAAATTGCACATAAAACATTCAAACGTAATAAAAATCCCATTGATTTCAATACATTTAAACTTTTACGGCTACAAATCAAAATTGAATCTCGTATTGCATATAATAATTATTTTAATCGTATACAATCGGATTTACTACTTAACCCAAAACGTTTTTGGAATTTTGTCCGTTCTAAAAAACAAGATGATTCTATCCTACAATCTATGTCTCTTAACGAAGTGACTTGCAAATTCTAGCCAAGATATTGCTAATCTTTTTGGAAACTATTTTAGCTCTGTTTATCAGCCTAATATTAACTCATTTACACCAACTATTTTTTCTAAACATAATACTGTTGATCTAAATAATATTAAATTTACGATTGCTGATATTTTCGAAGGTTTAAGTCAAAACTTAAACCTTAGTTTAGATTTGGTCGATCTACCGTCACACACCTTTTTTGATCTTTCCGTTCATTCGTTTCTGTTAGATGCAATTGAATCAGGTTCACAGGTTGATGTTATTTACACTGACCTCAAAAAAGCATTCGATAGCGTCAATAAGCTAAAATCATATTGTATATGTGTATCAGATCCATTATTAACATGGTTCAACTCTTATCTACATAATTATTCGTCTTTTCTCATTTCCGTTACTTCAGGTGTCCCACGAGGTGGCCACCTTTCACCGTGGCTATTTAACATTTTTATTAATGATGTATCCCAATGCTTTTCAACCTGTGAATTCTAGCTCTTTGCTGATGACTTGAAGGTTTTTAATGTTATAAATAACACATCTTACTGCTTGGATTTACAGAATTGCATAGTTAAATTTTATAAATGGTAATCAATAAACAATAACAAATGTAATTATATATCATTTTTTCTTTTCCGTTCGTATATCAACTTCCAATATTCTATTAATTCTAATCCCCTTGTCCGAGTTACCACACAATTAAAGATCTAGGTGTTATTTTCTTTTCCAACCTTTCATTTAATGACCACATTAATTACATCTGTAATAAATCTTATAAAATACTTGGATTTTTAAATCGTAACACCATTGGTTTATCTAATGTTAATGCACTAAATACTCTATATGTCACTAGTCCGTTAATACTTGAATACGCTATTAATATTTGGTCACCACCTCATCAACTTTTACATATAAATCGAATAAATAAAGTACAAAACAAATTTATAAAAATGGATATGGTCAAATTGCACTTATTTTAGTCGAATTGCACTTGGGTTTAAAAAAGGTAATGGCCGAACTTCACTCGGGTAAAAAACAGGTATTGGTCTAACTGTACTTGGTCTCAAAAATATTTCAAAAATTATCATGCATTTAGAAGGGATTAAACATTTATAGTTAACACTCATTTTCCTATAATTATTATATTATATTTTAAGCTCAATATGAGTCTTTCCACGCGAAGATCAATAAATCATTTTCTTCACCACATCCAAATATATTTGTTTTAATTGATGTTTTAACACAATTACAAATCGACACCTACATTTTAATGCAGAATACTGACACAAGACCATCAAMAACACGGTACCAGAAAAAAAAAATAATATTAAAAAATATATTGACTTATATACTCTATATACTCAAAAGAGTATTACCAGGTTAGAATTTTTGAATACAGTTACCTAGTCATTACTACAAAAAATGATCGAAATGACAACAACAAAAAGGCGGGTAAGTCGTGGATGTCGCTCTGCTGTACAGTAGGTTACAAGTGGGTTACTGTAATGGATGAAATTAAATTTGATTCCAATGATATTATATCATTGTATACGAAACACGATTCTGAGCGAAGACGGTTTATCTGTCTAGGATATCTCATAGATTATTAAAAATTTTCAAATCTTAGATTTAAAAAGAAAATTTGTTATGAATTTCTAGTTTGAAATAATTTGCGAATTTTCGTGATTTTCGTGATTTTTACAAATGTTGTCAAAATTCAAACCTTGAATGCTTGTAAAAAAAAAATTGTGACAACGCATTTATTTTTATTTTTCAATTGCTATTGTAAAAATATGATAGGAGCTATGTATTAAATTTTCAAATCTTAGATATAAAAGGAAAATTTTTTATGAATTTCTAGC